AGGACCTTATGTGTCTAATTGCAGAAAGGATTCCAGGCTGTGAATCTTAACCCAGCAATTTGAAGCCATGAGTTAGGCACGTAAAATCATTCTGGGTTGTGGCTTCCATGTCAGGGTTCTCATTGATTTGAGTGGGCTTTGGATCAGACGCTGAAGAGCAAAAGAGTAGCAGTACTGGGCCCACCGAAGGTCCTTCTGGCGTGGTATGCTCCCTGGGGCTGGCCAACAGCAGAGGCCTAGGAAAGGTGTAAATATATGCAAAATATAGAGATAAATACAGAGATTCTTCCCCTAAATACTTCCTCGCATGAACCATAGCACGAGCAATTGCTGAGCCAGAATTCTAAAATAGCCCAAGACTTTTTTAAACACCTAATTTTTTAGCATCCAGGTAAAAAGCCCAGCGCTGTTAGTTTTACTTACGGTAACGACTCTCCTCTGTAAAACACTCATGCCCTCTGAATTGATGGCCCAGAGATTAAACTCTCAAGTTCTCTTTGCTTAATGTTGCTGTGTATCTTACATCCCGCTACTCAGCTTATACACAACCTTTACACGCGGCTCCCAGTGAATTCAGTTTTAGCTCACCTGAGCAAGCACTCGGTAAATTCTTTAATATCTTGATCTTTCATACAGCAGTCTGGAAATCTGTTCCTCTGAATTCTTTCTGTTTCCTGGCTTCCATTCATCAGTCTACAGTTTTATAGTACCAATATGTTAATGTTTTCAGAAAGGCAGGAATTTCCGTAAAAGCTATTAGATAGAAGTTGCCCGTATTGCCCATCGTTGCCTGGCTCTTTGCTTGAAACGGTGCAGCCAATTTGTGACTAAACATCATGTCCTTCAAGAAAAACGGACATGATTAAAGGCAGCAAAGGTGCCATCTCTGGGCGCTGTTAAAGCAATTTGCAACTAGGAGTGATGTCGCGGATGAATTGCATTGCAGTAGATGGATTATTTGTGGGCCACCAATTTAAGAATGATTTCCACTATGAATCCCCTTGTCTGCTGGGTTAACGTCACAAAACCAAACCAAAACAAAGCAGAACACTGCTTTCACAGCATCCAGAGGGTTCTTGCAGTTTGAGCGAGACACGAGTTCTATGCGTGACTGAGCAGTCATGCAGGGGAGCTGTTCATTATTTCATTTTTATTTATAAACTCTGAATACTTGATACTGACTCAAATTCATTACGTTAAATCCCTTTGGCCTGCACTGGAGTTATTCCATTATAGGTCTGGTTATCGCTGAGAGGCTATAATGTATCTCTGCGTAACACTCAGTGCTATTAAAGTGCCTATCCGAAATGCTTAATCAAGGCAATGGCTCCATCACCCGAGCGCCCTGTGTGTATGTAAGGAACAGCAGACCCTTCCGTACATTAAACTGTTTTCCTTTGATTTTCCTTTTTTTCCTTTCTGAATATTATGTCTTAGTTCTTCCTTTTTTTTTTTTTCTTTTTCTTTTTATTACTATCTTGATTGCTTCAGGCAATAATGAGTTATAAAACTCTTTCGACTAGAAAATATCTAGAGCAACCTGAGGTCAAGCTTTATTGAGTGAGAAGATTGGCAACAGCATGTGACTATGAGTTGTGATATACAGTGGTATGTTGCTCTGATATATGATGACGCTGAATTGTTTTTTATGGTGATTTAACATTGAAACCTTATTTACTGCGAGCTTAAAGCTTCTATTTAGAAAATAATATGTCAGCAATAAAAGCGATGACTTTCACAGAGAGGAAAGACTATCACCTCATTAGAGCTTTGTAAAGAAACGTTAATGACAGAGCTTCAGTTTACGGATTAAATCAGAAGGCAAGTCGGGAGATAACCAAACAGTAGAAACAAGGAGTGCTGAATGATATATAAGCTCACACTCAATGAAAGAAAATTAAGATCAGAGTAGTCTTATAATTTTTTGTTAGTTTTTCTCCTGATTGTCTTCCATTTAGAACACAATTTAAGCACATGCTTAAATACATGTTCAACTGCTTCTGTAACGAAGGATGGATTTCAAAGATCTTCCCGGATCTCAGCTTTGGGGGAGGCAACACAGATGAGCACTCGTGGTGGTTCTTGAAGACAGATTGTAGAAGCTCCACTATGAATTTATGGAAACTACATTATTTTCAAGTTCTGAAAATCAATGCTTAACTGTAAATGATTTCTATTTACAAGATATAATTAGTAGGATTTGACATAAAGTGAAATGGAATTATACCAATATGGAAAATAACACTTTGATAGATAAAACCATATCTTGTACAGATAAAAGTAAACTTTAAAGATGAACTAATGTCCTTATTGGTTTTTTGGTCTTGCTGTTGTAATTTCCACACCAATTTATTTGATTTTCCAGTTCGTAAAAGAGAGACAGAGTTGCAATTAGTCAGTGTTTTGCCCATAACTCAGCTGTAACCAGAGATGGCTAAACTGGAGGAGTTTCCCACTTCGCTGGCCACCTGGATATACAAGTTCACTTAAAAAGGAAAGTGGCATTGTCAGGGTCACAGCAGTGTTGACGTGCCAAAGCTCAAATTGGAGGTGATTTCAGGAAGACGGGCATGGGTAGAAGGTACTAGTAAGTCACACTGAGGGAGCAGTGGAAAAGCAAGCTCTGAAGAAGCAACATTGTTTTCCCAAGGCCATAAATAACACTTGGAGAGCATTGTATTGTAATGACTTGCAATAACATATTTTCCTGTAGCAGAAAACGTCCTAGATGATATGGTTGTCAAAGCATCTCCAAGAATATGCTGCTGTCGATTCACTGGCTGTTGGATAAAAGACAGGATTGGATTTTCGTATATCCTAGTGCTTATTTAAGTCAATTTCATATTACTTTTTCATAATGTTTATTAGCATGTTTTCATATTTTATGTCTTATCAAAACATTTACTTTAGCAAACTGACAAGCAGGACTTCCTCTCCTGCATTTCCCAATATGTTTTCTTTGTTTTGCAGGATCCTAAATATTTCAAGTCACAGAAGACTGGGAGAGGCCAATTAAAAGAAGGCTGGAGAGAGACCCACCAGCCCATTATGTGTTCCTACAAACTTGTGACTGTGAAATTTGAAGTCTGGGGACTTCAAACCAGAGTAGAGCAATTTGTACACAAGGTCAGTGAAACAGGAGCTGTTTCTTATCCTTCACATAAGCAGAACTTGCGTAGTACCCTGCACAGGAATGTGACTGTGGCTGTGGGGAAGCTAGGGAGCTCAGCCGAATCCGCTTTCAGACCTCTCTCAAGGTCTGAAAGATCTGGAGCAGAGCCAAAGAGTTCATCTCTGGGTATAAACTTGACAAAGCCTGGAGCTGCTCAGATCTAAGGCTGAGAAAAACTATCGATAACATTTTCAATACTGTGATAAATATATGAGCTAAAGTCTTTATGAGTATACAGGAGTACCATACACGTAGCAATGATGGGGAGAATTTCTTACAAACAGGTAGTGGGAAAGTTTTCCAACCAGTCTACTAAACAATTACTTAATGAATAGCATAACATTAGCCAAATGATAATATTTTTCAGAGTGTTGACCTTCCACATGTTTAAAAAACTAACAAGGAAAAAGAAGAGTTCCAGAACATCTAATTTCCCAAAGGTTAATGGATTCTGTACACGTCCCAAATGGCTTCCCATGCTAGTCAAAGCCATACTAATGTGATCCAGTGTTGGCAACAGATCCACTTCAAGTGGGAGGCTGGACGATGAGACCTTCAGAGCCAGTATGTCTGACTGTCTAGGGCATGTCTTTTTAGAGACAAAACTGTCAGACTATTTTTCACTTTAAATCATGTTGAAAGACTGCAGTGTTACTTTTCTAAAATGCTTTGTTGCTGCAGAGGTATTTGACCTTTTCCTTGTTTCGCAGGTGGTCAGAGATATACTGTTGATCGGTCACCGGCAGGCTTTTGCCTGGGTTGATGAGTGGTATGGTAAGTATTCGCCAAATTTAGCCCATTTAAAGGGGCTGATGCAAAGCTTGTGACAATTAACAACAGATTTCCATTTGCTTTCATAGACCATCAGGTCCCAGTATAAGTTGTTCATGAAAGAGATGGAACTAGGTTCAGTTCCTCTGGAACATACGGAGCTCGTTTACAGCAGGTTCTTTGTAACAAGAGCGGGCTGTATTTTAGGCAGCCAGTAGGCCGCAACAGGGGTGCCTGTACATCCCATACAGCCCAGAGCATATGCATCCGTCCAGTCGCCCTGCGCTGGAGGCAGAGAGGAGCTGCCCCTGCCAGGAGTCATCGATATGGAGAGCCGCACGCAGGTTTGAATAAAGCTTCTTATTAAGACTGCATTAACATGCGGTCATTTCCATACTGCAAACTCCTAGGGCCTCTGATCCGACACAATTTCAGCTTTTAGGAAAGTTTCAAACTGTTAATAGGGACTGCAGTAAGGAAAAGATGGAGCTCTAACATCCTTTCTGAAAAATGGATATAAATGTAAAACCTCCTGGGTCTGATTCAACAGCAGCTGCATGCAGAAACTGTTCTGAATCCATGAACCAGCTGTAGGCATGGGAACTTTCAATAGTACAGAATAATCCTGATTATCAAACCAGCCAATTCTATTTTATAAAATAAGCTCACGTGGGTTGTGCTCTTCACATGTATTTTCAGTAAGATGTATCCGTAATCATAGATACTTGTAGAACAGTTTCTAAGATGTTTCTGTAACATATAATAGCAATTTGGGAATATATTTAGACCCTCCTTAAGCTTCAGGAAACACTGTTTTGGGCATTTCATGGATTAGAATGACACCTGTGTTTCAGCCAAACTCAAAAACATTCTGCGTTCCTTAAAAATAGTCAGTTAGCTCAGCTGGTGCGAACACACACATCTCCAGTGACTTCATAAACCTGCACAACTTCACACTGGAATCTAACAACAAACTCGTTGTGCTGGTTTTTTGAAAATATAGAAAAATTTGCTTTTGAAATCACAATGTTCTTATAAATTTTGTAGTGCATGAAAATCTTGTGCTGTAATCATAAAAATACTGAAATCTACTAAAAATATCCTTTTTTGGGGGGATAGCCATAAACTAGTAAGAGAATTTTATATCCAGTGAGAAAGAGTTCTTAAGAGATATTCTTTTTTTTATTTTCTAATTTTTTTTTTCATTTTTTACCTGAAATATAGTGATCCGTTATTTTCCCTGTACGAAGTCAGGGAAACTGATAACTTTAAAAGAAGCCTGACTTCATGTAAAAATTGAGCCCACAAATTTTCCCCAGATATCTATGAAAGCGAGACATTAAGAAATGTTACCTGGAAGCAAAGAGTCATCTGCACTTTAGCAGAGTTATTGATAATGATAACAAGTGGCTAATCGTGGAGTAAATCGTACAGAATAGGTTTAGCCCAAAAACATTTAACCACAGATTTTTCCATCTTAACTCTGAATGCACCCTGTCAAAAATACTCTTTCCACAAATGAAATATTGTGATACACAATTATCTTGTGGATCTTTCCTGTCACAGGGAGTCTTTTTACTAAATAATACAGTGTACTTTTAGAACTTCATTGTCAGGCTAAGTACAAAACCTAAAAAATCTGGATTTACTAAAATAGATATGAATAAAGGCTAAGTATACAGCAAGACTTATTAAAAAACAAAGAAACAAACAAAAAAAAGAACGTGCAGAAAGTTAGGTTAGGTACCTCTCTGAGCTGTCTGCAGCCCCTGTGCATTGTTCTGAAGCATAACAGCTGGGGAGAGTTGCTGACCAGAAAGCGAGTGTTTCGTTATCCAGAATGAGTGAGATCCCATTTGTATACATCCAGTTCCATTTATTACCTACGCTGTGTAAAACTGTTGGGGTACCGCTCTTGACATGTTTATGCGTGCAGGGCGAACTTTCAGAAGTATAATTTTTAAAGCATCTGTGTGCCTTCAGTGTGTCAGTTAGCATCTTTTAAAATAAAAGCTTGAGAAAGACGTGGAGATGATGTAAGTCAGCTAAACTGAATCAAATAATCAGTGTAATCAAATCAATTATTAAACAACATGTTATGCTATGGGTATTACTGATTGATTACTGTTACTGATACTGTAAGTATGAATGTGGCTTGTCATTAAATTTACTAAATTGTATTTAGCTTTATTATTAAGAAAATCTGTTTTCACAGTGTTATTTACTAATAAAGAGCATGTTCTCTGCTTGGCAAAATGCATCCTTAGCATGTTACTGACACGGCTGATGAGCTTGTTCTTCATTCCAGATAACAGTAAAAGGAAAAGGCTAAAAGAGTATGAGATAGTGGTATTCCGTGTTCCCTTTTGATCAAAATTTTAGACTGCATGTCATTTTCACTGAAAGTATTACATTGTGCTACTGATCTAACAGCTAAAGTTGTATCTTTCCGTAAAAGCTGTCTGTAAAGTGCAGCAAGAGCCTCATATCGCATAACAAGGAGTGGTGCGATATAAGAATTTGCAAATCCAAGTGGCACATACTAAACCTGAGGAAAATGATAGCCTCAAGAACAAAACCCCAGTGTACGTTACCAGAAGTGGTACACGTCTCCAAGTACACTGTGCTGTTAAAATGCTATTTGAGTTTTATGAGTAAAAAGTTGATGGCTGTTTTTATGAAGCTCTGAAGTTACCGAACCGTTGTAAAGAACAGACCAAAATTCTGACAGCCTTCGTATTCACTTTCACCTTACTCGCAAGCAGATTTGTTGAAAGCATGGGAATACTCAGAAGAGTAAGGTCACAAATCAATTAATTGGATTCTTTATGTTTTTACTGGAACTGTGGTTTATGACAAATCTTTTTAAAATCTGTAATAACTGCTTTGAGTTACATAGCAACCTCCTAACAGATTATGCACTAGTTTGACAACATCAGGCATGCCTAGACAATGATAAATGATCCTACTGGTGGAATCGGCCTGATTTGTGGAGTATTTCTAATTCTTACAATTCATTAAATTGCTTGAGGCTACAAAACGGTTAACGTATTCACTATTAATTCACTTACCAGTATAATTAAGTGTTAGTTTCTGGAATCTAAGCTGATGTGTGCTCTAACAGTAAGAATGTTTGCTGGTTATGAGATGTACTATGCAAAAATAACATAAAATCTTTTTGAAAGTTCCTGGAAAGGTAAGTAAATATTTATAGTATTTCTGTATCTCTCCTTTATTCCAAGGGATCTTCTAAAATCTTTTTAGAAGATCTTGGCCTTTGCCAAGGCCTGCACTTCAATACTTTTTGCCTACCTTATGTTACACAAATACTCCTGAACAATTTCCACTCCTTCCTGTTCTCTGACTCCCTTTGACTTAACCTTCTTACACCTTCCTTGGCTGATATCACTACCTTTATGAATCAATTTTCATAAAGCTAGTTGCTCCGTGCTTTTTTTTAAATCCTTTTTTGGCTTCTGCTGAAAGACTGTGTGTTTCTAGAACCTTCTCCGTTAAAAAAAAAAAAAGTTTGCACTGAATCAATGGAAAATGCCAACAATTTTGAACTTTTTACAGATATGACTATGGATGATGTTCGAGAATACGAGAAAAATATGCATGAAAAAACCAACATTAAAGTTTGCAACCAACATTCATCTACTGTGGATGAAATAGAGAGCCATGCCAAAGCAAGAGTATGTCAATTTTTAAAACATATTGCCCATCCTCAGCTAATCCACCTGCACAGATCAGAGAAGAGCAATGAACTGATCTTGCTGACCAGTCAGTGGAATTTTGGGGAGGTTTTGCTTCAGCA